ATCTATTCACAAATATCTATTCACATTTTTTTATTTGTACAAGCAACTCACTTGATACAAAACTTTAGACAGACTTTAAGGAAAAGTCTCCACACATATATTGAAGCAGTGCAAATAATGAACAATATTTGTAGACATGCAATATCATGCTTGCTTTACACTTATGAGTTAGTTCTTCTTTTAGAGTTTCACTTATAATATTGTATCAAACTCTAGAAAACAACAACCACTAATCCTAGAAACAAACCACAGATAGAAATAACAGTTTATGATATAAAATTTAAAACTAATTTGGCTTGGGCTGAAACAAATTAAAAATATATTTGTTTCTTTTTGAAATCATTTTTCAATAAAAGTAAAAAGAAAATCATCTAAAGATTCTTTAAATGTAGTAAATGTGTAGTTGCATATTTTAACAAACATTTGTACACTTGAGTGCAAATTAGTTGATAAATAATGACTTTGAGTTTTGCAACTGTGTTTATAGCAATAACATTTCATTGTTTCAGCATAGCAATAACAGTTTAATCTTGTGTTTTTTGTAGAAATTTTATGAATCCTACAAAATATATTGATCAATTTCTACATCAGTTCTTTCATTTCAATCTTTTCTTATAATGACTTCTCCATTTCATATTTTTCACCAGTGTGAGATCATCTTATGGAATTAAAAATATCTCAATGTTCTTTTATATAATATAATTTTTCTCCATTGTATCATTATCAACTGATCTTATATACATTCACACCACCACAATATCTTATGTTAATCAAACACTAAAACAACTGATTATTCTCCAATGGGGTTTGAAACTCAAAATCTTTCATGAAAATTCTGTCTACAATGGTATCTTTATAGTCATCTTATATATTTAATACAGATGTCAGTATTGAATCATTGTTTGCAAGTAAAAACCACATTACAACACATAACTTCTGAATAATTATCTTCAAACATTTTTAATATCCACTTTTGATGATGTTTAAATTTAGGACTTCAAAGGGATTTTTAGTATTCATCATTTTTAAACAATCACTTTGTTTCATTCTAATAATTATTTGTTTCATTCTAATAATTATTGCATGTTTTATTATTAGTTAGGTTTTTCATTTCTGATTTAAATATTTCAAGAAATATGTTTTTCTTTTCTTTTTGTTAACCTTTGTTGGAGACTTTCACTTAGTAAACCTCAATGTCATCAAAATGTTTGTAAATAACACACAAAAACATGACAGGCTTTTCTAAAAGGCAAAGGTTAGACACTATCGCCCAAACAAGCTCTTCATTTGCATACAAGTTCATTGAGTAAATATTCCTCTACTTTAGAAATAGTCATTTACAAATGTACAGCAAATATTAACATTTCATTTTAGGCACTTGTTATGCTTCTGTTTAAGCTAAGAAATCTTGGCTTATGGAAAAAAATACTTATTTCTGACATGGTCATTCATTCTATATTTATTTTTATTTGCATGTTCAAATAAAATATATTTGAAAATTTGAACATACAGGTTAACCAAAGAACTTGACAAGGCTAGAGAACAAAAAAAAAGATGATTCTTAAGAAAATTCTTACCTTTAATAAAAAAAAATTGAAGTAGAAATATGACTACTTTGTAATATCAAATTTCCTTTGTCTATCACAGCTTTACCAAAGTAGAACAAGGCCTTATATAGAAAGACAATTTTTTTAAAAATTTTGTTGGGAGTCAGCATTTCAAAAGCGAGTCAAGACTGAATTTGAAAAGTTGAAAACCTGATGAATCAGCCAGTATGCTCAGTCCAAGTCATTCTTGGGCAAAAATTTCTTCCACTGATTGTTGATTGCTTGCAAGAATGATCTTCAAAATCACTTCATCTTTATGGAAGCAGTTCTTTAGAATTGTCCACAAAAAGTAGAAGATATGAACAACCAATTTTCCCACAAGTTAATTAGGATAAACTTACACAGTTTGATTGACAACTTGAAATCTCATTTTACAAAATTTATTTTCCCTGTGTCATTCTATTATCAAAAATTAAAAAAAAGGTATTTTTTCCTTGAATCAATTGTTTTAAAAGAAACTAATCATTTTCCACTTAGATGTTTTATGGCAACCAAATAAAGATTGAAACTTTCAATTAGCAACTTCACTGATTACATTGTTTCTTAACAAAAGACAATATGACAAAATTAAAAATTGAATAGTAATATAAGGAAAAAGGTTTTTGTATTCTATTAATTACATGTCATTTTATATGCAGAGAAAAATAAAATTATTAAATAAATGTTAACAATAGTATCAAAAATTATTTTACACAGCTGAAGAAATTTTAGTCATCATTATATAATTAATTTGAGATGTTGAAATCAAAATAGTTTTTGAAATATTAATTTCTGTATTTTTTAATTCAAGTTCAACAAAAATAAAACTTGAATTTTCTGCCTGAAGAAACTTGAAGCAACTCAAGGTAAATTATATTTAAATTAAAAAAAAATTGAAATATGAATAAGAGTAGTATGAATGTGACAGGATCCAGAGGTAAGTAAAAGAGATGCATGTGAATATTTCTGAAATTGTTTTATATGAAAAAAATTTAAAATAGAAAGCAAGATAAGCATTCACACAGAAATACAAAATTCAAACTTATGAACAAAATATAAAAAAAGAAAAAAAAATTTTTTCCATTCAAGCAATATGACAAAAAATATAAAACGTCTGCACAGACACAGAAGTCCACATATACCAGTGATCCATGGTAGAAAAAACTGGCTTCTCTCTTACAATTACAATAAATCTTTACTTTCTATTTTTATTGTTGTCTACAGGAACCCCACCAAAATACCTGTTACTTGGTTAGATTTATCTTGGGGAGATGGGGTTGAACTACCCCAAAGAAAGTAAGGCATCTCAACATTTAATAGAGAAATCTCAAAAAATACATTTTCTTGTTCAACTGACAAATTAAAGCCATTTTTTAGGTTTACTATAAACTCTGGCCATTTTGTGCTTAAGGCAATCTTTCAAGTAAAAATGATAGAAATTCATTTACAATCTGGGATTTGATCATTTCATGTCACAAATATTTATATCCAATTTTTTAAGTGTCTTAAAGATAAAAACTAATTTTCTATTTTAAAAAATAAGTTTAACATTTATAAACAGACATAACCTTATTTCACTTTTTATAAGTATAATTCTGAGATAAAAGTTAGGATAAAATATTCTTTGGCATTCAAATTGTAGAAATTTAGTACTAATAGCTTTAGACAAGATTTGAACCCAAATCTCATGCCACAGATTATTGTTATCATTCAATGTCTATTAAACTCTACAGTCATTGATTTTGTTTTGATGTTCTCCATGCAATTATTAACAAATTTCTGAATTTTGATTAATGTAGTTGACTGTTCTGAATTTAAGAATTTTCAAGATTCTTATGAATATTTTCATCTTTTTGTTGTTTTTGCTACAAAGTCTTTGGTTAAACAAAAAAAAGTATTTCATTTCTAAGAGGCTTCAAATAGAAAGAATGAAAATTTATTTCATTTCATATTCAATGTTCTATTCTATTTTCTCTCACTCTTAAGGTTATTTTTTCAAACTCATTTTGGTACAAGAATTTGATAGCCTACTATTACTTTAAATTTCCTCAAAAAATAGTTTGCAAATATTTTTTACTGATTTCATTTGAATTTCTAACATTTGTTAAATAAATACTATGACTTTAGTTATAAAAACTAAGTTTTCATTTGAGAGAATGTATTTACCAAAGATAAACCTCTTCCACAGGCTGTTAAAGGAAAAAATAAAAAATGTTATGTCTGTCAACATGTCTAATAGTACTTTTTAAAGAACTTGTGTAGTTTATCTCTATTTTAAAAATATGTGGCAATGACCTAAAGACACAGGCAAGACATTTGGTGTTTATAGTAATGAGCCTAGAGAGAAATTTCTATCTTTAAATTGGATCTATACAATTTTTGTTATCTAACTTAGCAAAGAAAAATCCTTGAAGCACAAACAGTTATATATCTCTACACAACCAAGTGCAGAAAATTACCTCCCCAACCCATCCAATAATCACAGATTTTCAGTAAAAGAAAAATAGCTAACAGAAACGATTTATTTAAAGAAAAAAAGAAAGGACTGAGATATCAAAACAAAAACCAAAAATGCTTTCTAGAATATTAAAACATCTATAATGTTAGAAAGTAATTAAACGCCATGAAAATAACAAAAATGTTACATTTTAACAAATTTGGAGATTCATCAAACTGAACCAATTCAATGTTTATATTAAAAAAAAAATGTCCATGAGACAAGTGTGCAAAGATATTTTATGTAATTTGATTTGCAAATTGAAATGACTGAAATTTTAGCAGTAAAACAATAATTTTTTTCAGTAATTTTTATTCCTCTCTTCAAATGTACTTTAAAATATTTTGCTTCAATTGAATATAAATTATAAGCTGCTTCGTACATTGACAAAATATTTTAAAATTTCACTTTATCTGCTATAAGAAATCAATTTCAGAAATAAAAATAAATTTAAAAAGCAAGAAAAAACATCTCAGAATTAAAACTCAAAATTATTTTTCTAAACTCAATTGTTTCACTTTGGTGCATATGCCAACACCAATCAAATGTGTAATTCTAGCTATACTTGATTATGGTTGTTGATATATTTTATGCATGTACACATGCACTTTACTGAAACAATCAAGTGGCAGCAAAATAAAACCATTGGAATATTTTTGTATCACTTGATCTAAAATTCATTATTAATAAATATTAAAAAAAATAAAAAACAAACTGGTTGAAAGTAGCATGAAAATAGATGAAAATTTTCAGAAGCAACTGAAAACACACAATGAGAAGAAAAGAAACATTGTGAGGATTCTTTTGCTAGAAAAAATTATTTTTGTTTGCTTTTGATCTTAATTATTTACTGAACATTCTATAGTCAGAGATGAGTGTAATTTCCTTTCCTTAATAGAAAGAAAAAAATATTAAATCTATTTTCTCAGCTTTTTTCCCTCAAGTAGGCATTTGGCAACTTTTTTCTTTTGTACTTCAGTGTAATTAAAAATGCGAATCATAGCACGCAAGTGGTCATCTGTGTCCCTTTCATTAGTCAAATAATGGAAGAAAGAGTCCTTAAGAAATCGCAAAGTTGCAGCAGCTTCAGTGCTTGGCTTGTCAGCATTTTCATAGGCTTCTTTTCGCTGGATAGTTTGCCATTTAGCTAATTCACATTCTGTCCATGCAAGGCGACGAGCCAATTCACGGATTCCAACATTGTTCACACCACGGGTCAGCAAAGCTTGTAACTGCAAGTGCAAGAAATTAATCTTTTGTTATGAAAAGTCATTCTGCATGTAAACAACAAACAAACAGTAAAAGGAAATCACAAACATTGTGAAGAGTAAGCATCTCTACTAACCAAAAATCTTTGCTGATGCTTTGGCAAATGGAAAAAAGTTAGAGAGAAAATCTTTGAGAAATGAAGATTAATTTGTTTAATCTAACTATAAAATTGAAGAAATTTCATAATATTTTCCTTTGATTTCATTATCAGGTAATGATCACTTACTTCCCCATTTCAACAAATTTTAATGCATTTTTGTAACCACTTCCTTCTAAAACCTGAACAAAGTGTTTACGACTGCAAACCTGTCTAGATCCAGTTTTCCTGAACATTGGTTATTATTAAACTTGAAAGTTTTTCATGCCTGCTCCTCAATTTAGTTATTTTTGTCAGATTTTACATAAAATTTGTTCTTTTTTTAACAAAGGAAAGCAAAAATAGAGAGAAAAAAGGAAAGGACAGCCAGATTCAACAAGAAGTAATTTTGGTTGAATCTGCAGGAAAGAAATATTTAATGCATTGTTGTTCATCATTCATCCAAAAGATTACCATTTAACTATAATTCTTAATAAAATATCTTGATTTATCAGTCTGAATTCATCTGTTACCATCCACATCAAAGACAATACTGAGAGTTTAGAGCAAAGAGTACAAGAACAAATTTTGTGAAAATAAGCAATTTCATATTGAACAATTTGGTACACATAATTTATTTATTTATTTTTTAATCAAATTTACCCCAAGCAAGGCAGTAAATCCACTAAGACACAAAGGATTACTAGGTATGAAAGAATTAGAAACAGAATCATTATTAAGGAGCGAGAACAATAGAAGAGTAATCAGGAAGACAGTAGATTATGACTGACATTGCATTTAAATTTTTGAAGAGCAAAGTTGGCCAGAAAGCATGGAGCTGGAAGGGAGTTCCACAAGTAGGAAGTGCAAGAAAAGAAAATGTTAGCATGCAACTTACAGTTACATCTAGCCAATTCAACTGTAAATTGATGAGACCTTGTTTCCAATTTAGTACTGCACTTAAATTCATAAAGTATAGGTACTATATCAAAAAGCTCATCCAAACAATTACCATAAAAGTATTTCTAGAAAAAGCACAGTAATTGTTCAACATAATAACCTGGTAACAGAGTTGAATTTAAGCCAGATTTTATCATAAAGAGAATCAGGCAACATGAATGCTTTGTAATATGGACATTGTTAAGCAGTGAATAAATCAGTTATCTCCCTTGAACTGAAGATGATCCTCTGATGGTAAAATGAATTTATTTTTCCCAGTCATATTCCACTGTATATTTAAACAACCTTATGTCTGTGCCAGGATTGAAACAAAATGCACAGAGAGTTAAGACATACAAATAATTTGTTATTTAATGCAATATATATATATATATATATATATATATATATATATATACAGAAAGATAGTCATAAGTTAAAGGTTCAAATTAAATATCTGGTGCATACAACACAGTACATGAGTATGTGTGTGTGTCTATATATATATATATATATATATATATATATATATATATATAATATATATATATATATATATATGTATATATATAAAAGTGAATATAGAAGTCAACACTTAGAGGTGACAGTCTGTTTCATGCTAGATGCAATCGTCAGGCTACGAGTGCTGTTATTTTTCTCAGCTATTTATATATACGGGTCAGTGGTGCATTGTGGGTAGTCTATTTTGGCGGTTATTTTACCAGAAGTCATTTATTTGTTGATTTATTTATTTGGGTTAAATTATTTTGCTTGTTTTTATTTATTTTTATTTTTTATTTTTATTTCTTACCTTATATATTTATTTATTTTTATTTTTTTACCTTTATTAGTCGGGGTTTTTATTAACAGAGTTAAAATTTGTTTATATCGCTTACTTAATAGTTTTGTTTTGCTTTGGGAAGATAATTAAAGCTATTTATTCAATTTTGGAGTTGATTGTTGTAGTTTATTCTAACTATTTTGGTGGGACAGGTTTTTAATTTGTTTATTACTTCATGCATTTATTTGGATTGATTATCTTTATTTGTTCTTTCTAATGGTTACTTTATTGGGATCGGTTTGTTTATTTATTTATTTATTTGGATGAATTTAGATTAATTTATTTTACTTGTTTTTTATTATTTATTTATTATACTGTATATTTTTATTTACACTTTTCGGTTTTTGATTTTTAAGTAACGTAGTATTTTTCTTTTATCATTATATAACAGTTATAGCTATTTTTTTGTCTGATTTTTGGTTTGATTTCTATAATCTAACTAATATTTTGGTCATAATTTGTTTATTATTTACTTTATTTATTTGGGTTCATTGATTTTGTTTTTTATTTTTTTATTTATTTATTCTATTTCGTCTATTCTAATGGGTGTGATTTGGCAATTTGTTTGGGTTAATTTATTTTACTTATTTTATTGTCATTTTGTTTATTTATTTTTATTTTATTTTATTTTGTTTTTTTCAGTTTTCAGTTTTTAAGTAATGTAGTAAAAATTTGTTTTCATGTCTGCATTTTGAGACGAGCTCAGATCTTTTATTTAATAATTTATTTTGGTCTGGAAAGGTAATGATAATTATTTTGGTCTGGAAAGGTAAAGATAGCTTATTTACACACACTCTATCTATGATATTGAGCACTCTATTCCATAAATATAGCACATCTTAAGACTATTTCTTCATTTATATATATTTATAAATATGTACATATATATATATGTGCGTAGTGTGTGTGTGTGTGTGTGTGTGTGTATTCAGATGTAGTAATAGCCTGTGTAAATGATAGAAGAACATATGTATGTGCATGTCTACATAGAACTGTGTGAACATTGTAATGACATGTTTAAATGGTAGGAGGTAGGTAAATGCCAGGGACTGCATACCCTGAATGAAATAGATCAGTAGCTACGTTTTCTTTCTGTGGCACAATATGCTTGTAATCCAACAAACATGGAGGTTATGCTGATTAATATGCATAAAATGCAAAATAGTTTACTTTTTTGTAGATTAAATACATAATGGTCACAAGCTGCCTACTCTGAGTAATTACTGATGGCATGTGCCTGTTATATGCATATATCTATGTGAGACTATAAGGGTCACGCATGTGTCATATTTTGACTCTGGGTATGTTACAACAACCACAGTATCAGAGAATTCACAAAATGTATTCATTAATTCTGATTTGATATGACTGTCCATCAAAATGCCTGTGAGAGAAAGAGATCTGTTTTAGAACTACCATTTGGCTTTTGATTGGTCTACAAGCAGTGAGCTCATATCCTGGTTGAAAACAGATCTTGTCCTCAATTAGCATACTAGATTATGATGTCTGTGTCCTTGTTGAGATCATTTCTAATTGGGTCATAGAAATATGACCTCATGGACTAATAATTCTGAATTTTTATCTTTTGAGAGATGGTGAAACTTTGGTTTCCTTTTTATTAGTTATTTATTTATTTTTATTTATTTTCCTCACTAGACACCTATCTGTAATTTCAGAGTTTTTTATAGAAATATTTCACTAATATAGAAATAAGATTCCATTCATAATATCTTGTTTCAAGGCATATATCTCTTTACATTAAATAATAATTTAGATATGTTTATGGTTATGATAAAAAGAGCCATTTCCATACAGGAAACATTTGGCATTCATTGATGGAACAGTTAGTATTATTGCTGGTTGGAATTTATAAAAAATTTTTCTTAAAGCAGTTTTTCAGGAAATTAGACTTCTTTGCAAATATTTTATACTTTCTAATATTGATAGAAGTTTCCTTACAAATATTTTGTTTTTTTGAAAAGTGAAAAATTTCATCTTGATTATATTATTTTCTCTTTTACTCATATATGGTACTATTTTTGTTATTGCCAGTGTTTGAAGTGTTTGAGTAATGTGGTTTTTGTTATTTATTATAGCTCTTTGTCATTTTGTAGAATTGTTTTCTTTAAAATTTAGAAAGATTAATTTGTTTGAAACTATTTTTAATAAGTGATCTGAGAAAACAGTTATATAGAGATGTATGAGTTGAACACTATATGTATGATATCCACATGAAAGTCTAAATCTGACAAGGTTATTTAAGAACATGATTCAAGTTTTGTAAATAAGGAAACCAGCAAGTCAATAAAAGTTCTATTAAAACAATGATTCCCTTACTTGGCTGATAAACAGCCAAATATTTTACAAGTGATTAATTCATTTTTCTTTTTAATTCATTTGCAAATTAACTGGAAATTAAATAGGCAAAATATTGTGTACAGATCACTAGAACTTCTCAAAAATAGAACCCAAATGTCTAATTCGCTATCAAAATCTGTCAAACTACTTTTGACTTATACACTGAAGATCAATGGCAGGCATTTAATTTCACCTTGTCTCACCTGTACATAGGATAATATTTGAATGTGAACAACATGAAATCTTTTAAGCTAATAAAAGAACTTTCTCTGGGAATCTTTTGAATAGTGAATAAGTCAATGTTAAAAGTAAATCATCTTTTATAAAACAAGAGCTGTTTTGAAAATGAAAACCTTTGCTGTTGGTAATCTTCCAAAATCAGAGAAAATCTTCTTTATTATGGTTTTGAAAATACGATTTTTAAAGCAAAAGAATTTTCAAAAAGGAAAGGATAAATCCAGGCAGATTTTGCAAATTCATGAAATACATTCCAAAAAACATTCTCACTTACATCTTCTTCTCTCTCAAACTGGGCTGACATTTGACCTTTTTTGTACATCTCCAAGTACATTCGTTCCCTGTCTTCTTCTCTTCTTTTCTGATCTTCCTGCAGTTGTAAAGATCCGCATTAGAAACACATTAAGTAGAGGAAGAGCAATTAGAAAAAAAGTACTTAAAGCCAGGAATCAGAGAAGAAGGTTTAATTATCAAGAGCATGTTATTCCGATTACATGTCTATTACACACACACATGCCTTGGTGGATATCTGATGTAACTATGGCTATGACTTTTATAAATCTTTTGTAATGATTGCAATCAATGCATAAAATCTTCTTATAAAAAAAAATGTAAACCATTTTGTATTTTGGCATAGTAAATAATGATAAAGGAAAAATAGACAATTAAATATAAAATATTTGTTAGCAAATAGCAAATATTAAATGATTATGTGACTAAAACATGTTACTAAAGTAACTGCTGAACTTCTGTTGTTTCTAATCTGACTTGAAATGGCACAAAGATAAAAAGTAAACACTTGTTCTAGTCACAACTTTCAACAATAAAATGAGAGCTTTCCTAAAGAAAAAAAAATCACCAAATAACTATGACCAATTGCTACCACCCTGTCTGACTTTTTCTAATATTCTTTGTTCCACCATTTTGTTCAACTTACTAACCACCAAGGATAGCATGTGAACAGGAACTTTTCAGGCTTGAAAATACATGGGTTGACTGCTTTCTTTAAGCTGAATACTTGTCTTGTACCCAGATTACTCCTAAGTTATAGAGCCATTCCACATGCAAGCAGAAGACAAAGCCCATCTGCATTGATGGGAAGACAAATAACAGCTCCAATTGCCATGTCATTTGCAATGGATGAAAGTGTGTAGTACAGAAATAACAAGCATTCAAGTCCTGAAAAGGCAAATTTGGTGGTGCAAATTTAGAACCACAAGAGAGTATGAAGTTATGGAAAAGGAGAAGGAAGAGGAAGCAGAAGAACAGACAACAAAGGATGAACCAGGAAGACCATGAGAGAAATGAAAGTGAATAACAGGAGAGGAGGGGAGAGAATGAGTCTATCCAGTAATAGTGATGAACAATCTGGGGATGAAATTGACTGGAGGTTTCATGATGATCCAAATGAGGAGAATCAGTTAAGACCTAGATCTCCTATAAAAAGAAATAAAGAGACTCATCTAAAGTTATAAAAACAGCAATATCCCTATAGCTACAGGAGAGTTATCTTCTCTTAATGAGACCATCTGTCAGAGAGAATGCCAATCATAACAACCAGTAAAGCATTCTCTCATCAATGTTTTTTGAAAGGTGAAAGAAAAAGATTTTTTCAAGTGTTCATTATCAACAAAGATTAAAATTATACAATATCAGTTTATACATTAAAAACAAAAAAATGTTATAATAACATTGTAATTTCTTAAACATCCAATTTTATATAAATGGCACACTGGAGTTACAATTTCTTTGCCTCTGGCTTCCCAAAACCTCAAAATTTTATGAGGAATGAAATTTCCAATGTTATACTATGCTTCAAATTAGACCACCTTCTGATTCACTCCACATCAAAACCTGTCAACCAGATGTGAAGCCTACAAAATTAAAATTAAAAAGTTGCTCTCTATGCAGGAGCTCCAAGCATCACATCCAATACACAAAACAAATCCCTCCCCACAGTATAAATCAAGTGTAAAAATCAAAGCCAATCACAAGCACTGGCACTAAAGCAAAATCGTGACAAAAAATGCTGAGTCATGCATGCACACTGACTGCTTAAAAGGACCTGTTTGGTGACATACAAGGCAGTAGGTAGTGGCCCATATACAACCAATTCTCGTATCTCCCATATCACTTTCTCCAACCACAAAAGTTACGTTATACCGTTATACCAGCAATACAGATAATTTTATTTTAGCATGTCTTCTTTTCTTTCCACCTCACCAGCAATACTTTGTTGCTTTCATTTGTTACTCTTGCAACCATATGCAGTATATAACACCAATTAGAAAATGTTCACTAATATTGAAACAAGTTCTAATTTAGTCTTTTAAATTTGATGAGAAATTAGTCCAAACAGACATGAGTAAAGAAAATGATTTAGCAATATTTTAGTAAAAAAATTCTTTTTAGTGATATGTTGTTTTACTAAGGATTTCATGAAGAGCCTTAATATGATCATACTTATATAATTTTGGAGCTATTGCAAATTCCCACAAAATAACAAATAAATTCAATTTAGAAGAGATTAAATTATATAGAGAATAAAAATAGAAACAGATAATTTTCTCCAGAAAAATTCTTTTGATATGAATTTTACCTTGAGTTCTTCAATGTCTATTTGAAGTTGCTTAATCATTTTTTGTGATTCTGTATAATCATTTGCAAGTTGTTCATTCTTTAATTGCAAGGCTATTGTTTCATCTCTCACTTTCTGAATTTGTTCTGTCCGCTGGTCAAATGCTTTGGCTGCTTCTTGCCCTAACTGACTCTTGAGGCTTTCTATGTCACGTTCTTTATCTTCCAGTTGCTTTCCCATCACCTTCACTTGACTTTTCAATTCTTTGATCTGCTGGTCTTTTCTTTGAGTTGGTGTCAAGTAGGAGTTCATGTCGCAACTACTATCATGGCTAGCATGACCGAGTTCAAACCTGGAACCATAGAGACAAAAGTTAACAAAAAACAAAATATTCAAAAAGAGTTTAACTGACAAATATTTACCATGCCACTCTACTTTCTACAAGAATCCATTTATGAGATTTTAAACCTTGTCTGTTGGCACATTGAGGAGAAAGGCATCAACCAAATAAAGTGATTTATAAATATTAATGATAAACTGGAGAAGATTTATCATAGGGACAACATCTACAATGTGATCAGATTTGGAGTATGACAGGATCTTGCAATATGTTGGTTTCTTTGTTGCTTGTACAAATATACATAATTGAAACAACTGGAGTAAAATCATTTAAAATCTATGCTTTCCAAGTATTTAACTCTTTTTCAATTTATTCAAGCTTGAAACATATAAGCCAGAACAATTTTAGTTTTCTTTTATAAGACAACTAACTATAAACAATATTTTGTTAATATTTAAAATTTTCATTTTTTTTAAGAAAGATAATTGAATAAAATATAAGCAAAGTGTAAAAGGCAGAAACAAAATTCATTGAGATTGATCAAAAGATTTAAAAAACTCTCATTTTTAATTCTGAAAATTGTTTTAACATATTTAACAATATAATATGTGGCCAATGTAAAACAATTCTCTCTCTCTCACACATACACACATCTTTAAAAATAATGGTTCAAATACAAAATTAAAAAAAGAAAAAATGAGCAGTGACAATAATGTATAGACATTTGATTTCTTGGTTCAAAATATTTTGGAAATAAAAAAAACATAATGACACGATTGTACCATTATTCATTTCCTTATTTTTGACATAATAAAAATGTAAGAATTAACAAAAGCAAAATGATGCTATAATTATGTAATATTCAATGAAGTGACAAAAGAATAATTTCAGCTGAGAAATGCATTTTAACATAAAGTTTAAACCAAACAAGATTAACTTAAAAAAATAAAGTTTTACTTTTCCAAAGGTGAATTAATTAAAATCAGCATAAAACTGAAAACTAAAATCTCTGATGAAGCTTTTGCATGAATAATAATTTTATTACAGCAAAGAAAAAAATAACAATCAATCAAATATTATATCAGAATGGTGAATATTTCTTTTGCCAACCAAATTACTTAACGAAACAGAATTATTCAATTTTGGCAAATGTTTTTGCTTCTGTTATTTGATTTGATTTGATTAAAAGTTTTAAAGGAATAATTTATAAGAAGCTATTAAATTCTATCATTTTAGCTGTTGATTCAGAAATAAGACTGATGCTAACCCCAAGAAGCACTTAATAGTGCAAATAATGGAAAACATTTTATCACAAATAATTACAAAGTCATTCTTAATGGAACAAAATCCATTTGGATTTGGGTCATTTGCCATGACAATGTTGAAAGGAAAGTTTAAATGGTTTTATATTAAATGGTTTTATATTAAATGAAATTTATATTAAATGAAATAAAATAAAAAGACATTATGAGTGCAGTCAATGGATTAAAAACACCTTAAAAACAAATGTCATTATGCATAGAGGGAATCAATTAAAAAAAGAAATTAATTAGAAAAAGTGGTGAGAATTTTATTTTTTCATCTAAATAATTACCTGATTTCTATTTATCCTGTATAATGACAGAGATACAAGGTATTGTTTTAAAATCTTATAAAATTTGTTTAGTATTATTCTCAAATAAATTGCTTTTGAAAAAAGTATCATATTCATAAACCTTGCTTTTAATATTACATTAAAATAAATGTGGGGGGGGGAAATGTCTGAAGGTGAAATATTGAATGAGGAAGAGAAAGAATAATTACCTTTTACGGCTTGAGAGATTGTATTTTGGCATTGGAGTTACAGCACTAGCCATAGATAAACAGTCTGCAGAAGTCATGCAAGAATCTAAAGATTTATTTCGAGAAAATGTTGTGCTTCCATTCCATCCTTGACTTTTGTTTCCTGTTCGTAACATTGGCCCCTTCTTGTCTGCAAGAGATTTTCTTGGAATCTTTGTGGAACACTTGTTATCAGTCTTTTTAATTTGATCCTTTTTAACCAGATTCTCATGGACATGAGGATCAGTTTTAGCACCATCTACCATTTGGGATGCAGAATCAAGGCTGTCAGAAAAGCTAGAATTGGACTGACTGGTACTTTTCATTAGTGATGACACTCTTCCATCTTCTGTTGGCTGTTCTGCTGGCCTGACTGGAGACTCATCTTCTAGGTGTTCTTCAGTTGGTAATGAATTGTCAGATGCCTGGCTACCCTTTGTGCTTTGTTCTTCATCTGTGGGAGAATTGACTTGAGAGGCATCTATCTCACAGAAGCCAGGAATATCATCTTTGTTACTTTCTGCTTCTGTTTTAGTCAATGCATGTAATTTTGCAGCTTTGCTTGCATTAATGACTGTCTCCTCTGCAATTTTCATGATGTCTACATCTCCATCTCTTGGTATAACCTCTTCCATTATATACCTCACCCGACTCTCTAGAAGAATAAACAAAAATCATATCTCATTAGATTCTCATAAATATCATTACACCACGAAATTTGCATTCAACATAAAAAAGAAACATATTAACTTATAAATACTTCATGCAAACAGCAATTTATGTAAATAAATAGAATAATGAGGTATTTTTTCAAAAGCATAGATCTATCAGATTTTAAAATTTTATTATTCTCATTTCTTATATTGAAATTATTGATTCTTGACTAAAAATAAAAACTATTTATAAGACAAGGTATTAAAAATTTAAAATCCCATACTTATAGGGTTTTTGTTATATTTTGATCTGATCACATTGTCATTAGGTGCTAAGCTTAAAAATATTATTGGAATAAATGTTTTTTTTTAATGATGAAAAATTACATTAATCTAAACAAAAATACACAATGAAAAAAATTCTTTGAGACAGAAAACTAATCATAAAAAAATATTCACATTTTAATAAAAATACAAAATGTAGTTTTAATTTTAATAGAAATTTAACAGGCTGACATTTTAACACTGAATAAAAAATAAATAGATGAAATTGCTTTTCACTTATGTCATTTTTTAGTCTTTTTTATAAAAAAATAATTTCACTTCCTCAAAATTAGGAAAATGTTAGGCAAGGCAAACTTAATACAAGTTCTATAGTAACATTTTGGCCAAGCTCATGATCTATACTTTGCAAAACTTTTGCCAAAAAATCAGCTCTATCAACATTTAAAACAAAAATTTTAATGGCTTTCTTTCAATGCATCCAATTATTTGCATGTTTTAAGACTTTTTGCTCATCACAGACTTTCAATATTATGCAAAGTTCGTTTTCTGGTATTGTTTGATATTGAAATCTTTCATCTTTTGGATGGGCTTGTGTATCAAGAAGAATTGTTACTTTCTAAATCAGAAAATGTCAATAGATTAAATATGTTGAGTTGTATAAAGTTGATTAATGCTCAGAAAATAAAATAATAATAAAATTAAGAATCAGGACAAAAATATCTTGTTTTCCATTATGAGTTTTATGTGAAATATTGCAATATTTAAATAAGAAATGTTTAAATGTGTGAAATTCATTTTTTAACTATTAAATATGCTTTAGAAAACAGGTACTTCAAAATGCCAGAAAAACAAGACAGTCAACATTTTCTTTTTAAAAATATTTCATAACTGCATTACTTATTGTTTAGCTTTCTCCTATCAGAGAAAATGTTCCCATGTCATTGAGTACTTTTTAGTCACACTTGTTAATTAATTTATTCTGGTATTTTTCTCCCCAAATAAAGGTGATTTTTCAGCTTTTCAACCTTTAGCTGCATAGGTAACTTCCTACCTCATTGAGTTAAGTTGATATGTGCATATTATGTATTCACCAGTTGTGACATCTTGAGCTAACTGAGGAAGTATAAAATGCACATTTCAGCAAACAAAAAAGTACCTGATGATTGTGTACTTTAGTGCATAAGGAACTAATAATTGTTGTCAGATGAGTACATGACAGAATATGATAATATAGCATAAATGCTCTGGTATTTTGGCAATGTGGTCTTTTTCTCTGGTGTGCCTTTTTAGTACATTCCATTGGGAGTTATTTTACTTTGTGTGTTTAACAATATATGTGTGAATTTCATGTATACTTTAATAAGTCTAAAAAGATGCAAGAAAGATTAAATATATAAAGCATTGTCAAACACTTTCAGCTGACATGTTCATCAAGTTTCCACAAGGATATGCCACATATATATATATATATATATATATATATATATATATATATATATATATATATATATATATATATATATATATTAGGGCGTATATTTCTAAACCCCATCAAGAAACATTTCCCCAACCCCAAAACTAACCCATTTAGTAAAATATTTAATCCTAATACCCTTAAATTAAGCTATAGTTGTGCTGATAACCTGGAGAAGATAATTAAAAAATATAACAATATAGTCTTTAACAAGTATAGGGATTCAAAAGGCTTGACTATTCAACAGGTTACTGCAATACTAAACATAATAACACAAATAACAACTTATGTAATTGTAGGAATCTGAATAATTGTCCACTACAAAATAACTGTGGGATTACTTCTGTAGTACTATTTCAACAATTGAAAATCCAAATATAAAGAAATTTTACATTGGTAGCACCATGAAAACATTCAAGGAACACTGGCGGGGGCATATGCAATCCTTTAATCACAGTGAATATAGGTACATGACTTCATTATCCAAGTATTTTTGGAATCTAAAAGAAAAGAACAAAACACCTACGGTTAAATGGAGTTTGGTTAAGAAAGCTCGGACATGTAACTCCCTATATGCCCCATATTACCTATGCCTTAACGAAAAATTTGAAATTATTAGATTTAAAAACAAGGTTGATCTCTTAAATCAAAGATATGAACTTACAGTTAATTGTAAACACTGTTATAAATTTAACTTAGTGTAGGGGTCGTATACTTTAAATGATAATGATATGTCGCTGTAATTTTAATAGATTAGTATTTTTATTGCATGATGATCATACTGACAATATAAATGTGTATTGTTTACCTACATAGTGTTATTAGTGTTGGTGTATATGTGTATATATTTATTTATGTGTAGGTTAGCGTGTTTGCACTGAGGAATGTGTAGGTTTGAATATAAGTGTATTTATATGTTTTTTTTTGTTTTTATATATATATATATGTGTGTGTGTGTGTGTGCGTATGTATATATATGTGTGTGTGTATATGTATATATATATAATGTGGGAGGGTATGGTAGATAAGAAGAGAAAAAGTTAAAAAATTGTTGATGTATATGTGTATGTGTGTGTGTATATATGTATGTATGTGTGTATGTGTGTGTGTATATATATATATATATATATATATATATATATATATATATATATATATATATATATATATATGAGCACCTCGAGGCGGTATAATGGTTGGCAAGCTTGGTTCGCTAGATCAATTGCGACTGAATAGTGAGTTCGTTCCTCACTGGGTGCCCCCTAATTTCGGTTTTGTGCCACAGTATATTTGTATATATAGGTATGTGTGCATGTATATATATATATATCTGTGTGTGTGTACATGTGTGTGTATATATGTATATATCTGTATGTGTCCTATTTTATTGTGTATGTATATTTATATTTAAGTATATTTCTGTTTGTATGAATGTCTTTATATATTTGTATGATAGGGTATATGTATATTAGTGTGTGCTCGTATTTGAATGTATATTTATGTATGTATATGTAAGTACGTTTATATATGTATTTGGTTGAATGTTGTTGTATTTATATGTATGCATGTATATATTGGTACTTGTTATTATAGATAGATATATTTATATATATGTTTATATGTAGATATGTATGTATATGTATATATATTTATGTATGTTTGTGGATGTATATGTGTGTGTTGACACCTATTATGTATGAGTTTGTTTGTGTGTATGTGTAGGTATGGAAACTTTGGTATGTCATTACTGCCACAGTAGTTAGTCTATGTGTGTATATATGTTCATATATGTATTGGTGCATGTATTTATATTGGGGCATATATTTATATATGTGAGTATGTGTGCATAAAAATGCGTGTATATATGTGTGTATATATGTTTATATGTATATGTGTGTGTATGTGTACTTGTTATCATAGATATGTATATGTGCGTATATTTTTATGTATTTATATGTATGTATTTCTGTATGTATATGTATGTATGTGTGTATGTATATGTGTGTTAATTTGTGTTTGCTGCCGCGTGTGTATATATGTATATGCGTATGACTGTACACTTATTTCTGTGGGTTTCTTTATCCTGTTTTTCTTCGCCTAATATATAATGAAACTATTATCAACATGTGATTAAAATATATTTTTATTGATATTTGTGGTTTCGGAATTTTCGTTTTAATATATTAAATAATATTATTTTTAACCATTTTTATCTTTGTATATTTGCTCGCTTAAGTTATAATTTAATAAGTGGCTAGCATTTATTTAATGGTACTTTAAATCTTAAATATTTATTGGTTGTGGTATCTGATTGTCTAGGTCATTGTCTGTGGATGTGTGTATGTGTATTTATCGGTGTCTATGTGTATGTAGAGTGCATTCACATTTAATTGTGTGTGTCTATAGGTGTTGGTTTACCCGTTTCCTTTTTTCATATAGGGCTGTAAAGATGTTCCTGTCTCGTCTTTTTTTTTTTTTTTTGTTTTTTTTGTGTGTATATATATAGATAAATATGTCTGGGTGCTTATGTATTATAATCTGATTGTGTTTTTGTTGTTTTGCGCGTGAGTTTAAGACCACATTCACACACTTTAGAATAAAAAATATATATACATGTATTGTCAAATGACCGGATATATTGTAGCGTCTTGTCGAACATAATTTCAACGAAGAAATAAATTGAATGACATATATTTTTTCTTTTCTCAATAATTTTGTAGTTTTTAAACTTAATAGTGATTAAATTTGGATTTTAAAATTGGCAGTTTTTAATTTTAATGTTAAATTTTATCATATAATTTTATAATTATTGGTTATTATAAATTATTTTTAATATTACCCGTATTTTGAAGATCTGAATAGCTATTATAACATGATTTCGTTGTCAATCTTTTGAATCTTTCTATACTTGGTTTTTGATTGGTTATTCTAGCTTTTGTAACAATCTTTCCCCCTAATGTAGGATCGTTAATTAATTTGAAATTAAAACCATTTATTTTATCTTCAACATCATCACTTGATAAGACACCGAGTGTGTTGAAACAAAATGGCTATTTTTGTAGTGATTTTATAACATACTTATGTTATAATTTTTTTATAAATAATAATTATATATATATATATATATATATATATATATATATATATATGAGTGTTGGTACTGGTGCATGAGACTCTGAGTTGTGCTACCAGTGAGGGAAAAAAATGTGTGTAAAATATATATATATATATATATATGTGTGT